GATATCCAGCGCTGCAAGTTTATTCTCCTGGTTGTGTCTGTCTTGGGGCTGGGAGACGGCCCCATAGAATTCTATGGGTCTGTAATGTGCAGGTGTGACCAGCAGAGGGAGCACTGTTGCACTGGATGTAAAAAGTAGCAGAACTGTACCCATCAGGTCTTGGTAAGTACAGATCTGTGGTGGGAGAGGGTCGGATCGTATGGGTCAGGGGAGGGGGACATAAAGGATAGGTGTACTTTGTTTTAAAGTGCAACTAAACACAACAAGCGGGAGAGCTATGTGTCATTTACCGCTCTCCAGTTTCTCTGACTTGTATCTCAAATGAAAACAAAGTAACACAATATTGTTACAAAATGTAAATAATGAAAGAAGCTGAGAGATCTGTGTTGTTCCCTTTAGGTCTGGTAGGAATGCTAGGGGGGACCCCATGTAAAAAAAAAAGCTTGTGCGTGGTTCCCCTGCAATTCATACCAGACTCTTTAGGTCTGCTGCCGCAAAACTGACATTTGTAAAACAAAGAAATTACATTTAAAATGACAAAAAAAAAGTGTGCGGTTTTCCCCCTCTCAAACAATACCAGACCCTTTAGATCTGGTAGGAATGTTAGGAGGGACCCCATTTTAAAAAAAAAGCGTGGGGTTTCCCCGAAAAGTCATACCAGACCCTTAAGATCTGGTAGGAATTATAGGAGGGACCGCATGTAAATAAAACCAAAACAAAACTTGTGTGGGGTTCCCCGTTAAGGTCATACCAGGCCCTTAAGGTCTGGTAGGAATTTAAGGAGGAACCCCACCCCCAAAAATAGGGGGGGTGTAGCGTCCCCCCTAAAATTCCATACCAGACCCTTGATCCAAGCACAGGTCTGACAGGGTAGAAAGGGGGGTGAGCGAGCAGCCCCCCCTCCCTGCGATACCAGGCCACATGCCCTCGACACTGGGAGGGTGCTTTTCCAGGGTCGCCCCTTAATCAGAGATCCCCTTAATATTCCTACCAGACCTAAAGGGTCTGTTTTTACATCAGAAATTACAAAGAAACAAAGTAAAAATGTAAGGTCACTTTTCTGCAACGAATTTTAGTTTGTAATTATCATTTAACTCATCCGAAATTAGCGAAATTCAGATTCATTCGAATGGCGACACGAATTGACTTTCAGACCCGAATCCCGAAAAACGGAATAACGAAACATCCGAAACAAAACGGAACTAAATTATTTTTTTGTTGGCTTACATGCCTACTCGGATGTAATGAAGAAACACCAAGCCTTGTTCCCCCTCTGCTGCAGCGGTCTAAGGTCCTGAGTCATCCTGTTCTATACAAAGTTAAAGACGTTAAGGGGCATAGAGGGACACACCATTGCTGCAGTGGAAGAGCAGACAGGCTTCAGGGACCAGAGTGGCAGTCTGAGGTTCGGGTGAGTATAACGCATGAGTATAAAGCAGCAAAGAGGGGACGAGGCTCCAGGGACCGATCTAAGAGCAAGCCTGCTCAGGGGATCGGGTGAGTATAACTTTTTTTATTTTTAGCACCTAGGCAAAAATTAGCACTTAACCCTTGCAGTGCAGGGGCAGCAAGGGTTAAGAACATTTTTGCCCAGAGTTCTGCTTTAAACATTTGAGCAGCAATTTTGATTTCCTTTTTTTTTTTCCAATCATTTAAGTGAAAGGGAACATGTTACAAATATAAGTGGATGGGAACATGTTACAAATATACGTGAATGGGAACATGTTACAAATATACGTGAATGGGAAAAAGTAACAAATATACGTGAATGGGAACAAGTAACAAATATAAGTGAATGGGAACAAGTAACAAATATAAGTGAATGGGAACAAGTAACAAATATAAGTGGATGGGAACATGTTACAAATATAAGTGAATGGGAACATGTTACAAATATAAGTGAATGGGAACATGTTACAAATATAAGTGAATGGGAACAAGTAACACATATAAGTGAATGGGAACATGTTACAAATATAAGTGAATGGGAACAAGTAACAAATATAAGTGAATGGGAACAAGTAACAAATATAAGTGAATGGGAACAAGTAACACATATAAGTGAATGGGAACATGTTACAAATATAAGTGAATGGGAACAAGTAACAAATATTAGTGAATGGGAACAAGTGACAAATATTAGTGAATGGGAACAAGTAACAAATATAAGTGAATAGGCACA